TTAATGTTTCGGTGTGTTTGTTTTAGCCTTTTACCTAAGATGGATTCATTTAAAATAGCATCCTTGAATCTAAATGGGGGGAGGGAGGCTGAAAAACGGGCATTGATTTATCAGATGATGAAACAAAAGAAAATTGATATCGTCTATCTACAGGAGACACATAGTGATTGTACAATAGAAACAGACTGGGGCAAGGAGTGGGAGGGAGAGGTGATTTTAAGTCATGGCACCTCCAAGAGTGCAGGGGTGGGTTTTCTTTTTTCAAAAGCTTTCACCCCACTTTCTATAGAAATTGAACATGTGGTGCAAGGGAGATGTCTTTTAGTAAAGACAAAATTTGATTGTTTAAACATGTTTTTTATTAATATCTATGCTCCGATAGCCAATGCAGAGAAGAAATGTTTTTATGAGAAAATTGGGGAGAGGCTGGGTGATTGCGGGACCGAGAATTATGTTTTTATAGGTGGGGATTTTAATTGTACTGAGAACGAGTTTTTAGATCGCAATCACGCAGAGCCACATCCGGCGGCCCAACGGGTCTTGAAGCAACTGGTCTCGTCTCATGGCCTGGTGGACGTATGGAGGAGGATGCATGCAGGCGCCAGGCAGTACACATGGTCCCACATTGTTGATAGTAAAATCTCTTTAGCTCGTTTAGATCGTTTTTATTGTTTTAAACACCATTTTAACGTGTTTAAAACATGCCAGATTTTACCAGTGGCTTTTTACAGACCATTCGTTGCTTTTAGGTAGTGTTTTTATCAGAAACATTTTACCTAGAAGCGCGTACTGGCATTTTAATTCTGCTTTAACTTATGATCAGAGCTTTAAGGAGGTTTTAACTTATTTTTGGACTGGTTTTAGGGAAAGGAAAGCTGATTTTAGCTCTCTTAGACAGTGGTGGGACTATGGAAAGGTTCAAATAAAACTGCTGAGTCAACAGCACACTGTCAATGTCACTCGTGACATTGCCGGATCTATCAGAGATCTGGAGATGAGTATAGTGGAATTAGAACGACTTAGTGACTCCACAGGAAATCGAGAGTATTTTGAAGCTCTCAAATCTAAAAGCTAACTTTAGCAAACCTGCTGGAAAATAAAGTCCAAGGCGCATTGGTCAGATCCCGGATACAGGACATCACAGAGATGGATGCTCCCTCTGGCTTTTTCTTCAGCCTGGAGAGGAAACACGGACAGAGGAAAATGATCCACTCCTTGCTGTCGGACACGGGGCAGCATTTGAGCGAACCGGGGCAGATAAGGAGGAGGGCTGTGGAATTTTACCGTTCTCTGTTCCGCAGCGAACACAGAGAGAACGACGACGAACTGTTGGAGGAGTTCTGTGAGGAACTACCTCAGGTCTCTGCGGAGACCAACCTGGAGTTGGAACGGCCTCTGAGCCTGCAGGAACTACACACAGCCCTCCTTGGCATGAAGGGTCGGAAGTCTCCAGGCGTTGACGGGCTCACGGTCGAGTTCTACAAGGCCTATTGGGAGGTTCTGGCCCAAGACGTGCTCGACGTATTCAACGAGAGTCTGTCTACCGGTTCGCTCCCCTTGTCTTGCCGCAGGGCAGTTATCACCCTGCTGCCTAAGAAGGGAAACTTGCAAGAGATTAAGAACTGGCGCCCCGTGTCCCTCCTTTGTACAGATTATAAAATCCTCTCCAAGGCCCTGGCCACTAGGCTAGGGAAAGCCATGGAGCAGGTCATCCACCGGGATCAGACCTATTGCGTCCCCGGCAGGTCCATGGTGGACAATGTCTACCTAATTCGGGATATTTTGGAAGTCTCCGGTTCATTGGGTCTACAGACAGGCTTGATTTCATTAGATCAAGAAAAGGCTTTTGACCGCGTTGAACACGACTTCCTCTGGAAAGTAATGAGGAGGTTTGGGTTCAGCGAGGGTCTTATCGCCAAGATCCAGGTGTTGTACGGTGACATTGAGAGTGTGCTGAAGATCAATGGCAGCCTGTGTGCTCCTTTTAGAGTGTGTAGAGGCGTTCGACAGGGCTGCGCGCTCTCGGGAATGCTCTATGCACTCTCCCTGGAACCCCTTTTAAAGAAGATGCGATCAGACATTCACGGCTTGGTTTTACCCGGTTTTAAAGACAAATTGGTTTTATCTGCCTATGCTGACGATCTCGTGGTTTTATTAAAGATCAAAGAGACGTCAGCGTTTTAACAGAAATCATAAGAAAGTTCTCCATGCTGTCTGCCGCCAAAGTAAATTGGGGAAAAAGTGAAGCCCTGGCTGTTGGCGAGTGGCCCGACGGACTCCCGGCTCTCCCCAAAGGCATGACCTGGAGAAAAGATGGCCTAAAATATCTAGGCGTGTATTTAGGCGAGAAAAGTTTTGTTGAAAAAAACTGGGAAAACCTAGAACAAAAAATATCAAACAAACTTGCGAAATGGAAATGGTTGCATGAAAAAATGTCGTACAGAGGAAGAGTGTTAGTGCTTAATAATCTGGTCGCATCACAACTCTGGCACAAGCTCATTGTACTAGATCCACCGTCAGGGCTGCTGACAAGAATACAGACGGAAATGGTTAATTTTTTCTGGAACAATCGTCACTGGGTGCCACAGTCGGTGCTGTTTTTATCCAGAGAAGAGGGGGGCCAGGGCCTTGTCCACCTGGCCAGTAGAGTCACTGTGTTTAGGATACAGTTTTTACAAAAGTACCTGATAGGATCTCCTGTGTGGAAGGATGTAGCCAGTTGCATTCTAAGACGCGTGAATTCCTTGGGATTGGATGCTGCTCTGTTTTTAACAAATTTTAGTCTTCTAAGGTTTAAAGGAACTCCGCAATTTTATCAGAGCGTTTTAAATCATGTGCTCTTTTTAGATTGCGTAGAGCGGAAATGACTGATTCTCTGCATTGGCTATTAGAAGAACCCTTGGTGTACGGAGCAAGACTGGATGTTGAAGAGGACACGTTCCTGGGGCTAACAGAGACGCTGTCTAGAGCCGGAATGGTGACCTTAAAGAGGCTGATCCGAGCATCAGGAGCAGACTTTGGCGATGCCCAGAAGGTCGCTGCCGCACTGAAAGTAAGGTCTACAAGAATGATGGAACGTGTCCTGATGAGAATAAGAGAAAGATTGACTGGAAAAGAGAAGAGTTTATTGCAGGCATACAAGGATGGAGAATGCCTGCCAAAAGAAACAGATCCTTTTCCTAAGGTTCTTCTGAGTCCAAGCTTTGAAGAGGACAGCGGTCCTCTGCTAAAGACCATGGACTCAGAAATGGATTTGTGCAAAGTGGCACCAAAGACTTTATATAAAAACTGTGTGAAAATTCTAAACAAGAGAACGCTTCGAAAGAGGGACGTCAGCGTGTGGGTTGAAAGACTGAAAGGACAACCAATCCACTGGAGGACAATGTACAAACCGCCGATTAGAAAAAAGATTGGCGACCTCCAGTGGAGGATACTCCATGGCGCTATAGCCACCAACGCATTTTTATCGGTGATTAGTCCTGGTTTTATAAATGAGTGTCCATTTTGTAGGTTGTCAGAGAGTGTTTTTCATGTTTTTATAGATTGCACACGTTTGATAGTCTTTTTTAGTTTTTTATCGACTGTTTTTAGTCTTTTTAAAATGATTTTTACCGATGCACTATTTATTAACGGAGTACGTCATAGTAAAGCGACTAGTTTTAAGTCAAGGCTTTTAAATTATTTATTAGCCGAGGCAAAATTAGCTATATATATAACTCGAAGAGACAAGATGCAGGATGGACCTCAAGTTGATGTTGTGGCTCTGTGGAAGGTAAACATCAAGGCGAGGCTGAAGTTGGAGTTTGCTTTCCACAGAGCCACTGGGAATGTGCAGGGGTTTTTAGAGTTATGGGGATGTGACAAAGTGTTGTGCATCATTTCAGAAAATAATGAACTAATTTATACAGACGTTTTATTATAATGTATTTGTTTTTGTAATGTATGACATAGGATTATTGTAAAACAACAAAAAAAGGAAATTGTTTTATTATTATTGTAAATAAATGTTTTGGTAAAAATCAAAAAAAATCTTCTTCTTCTTCTTCTTCTTCTTCTTCTTCTTCTTCTTCTTCTTCTTCTTCTTCTTCTTCTTTTCTTCTTCTTCTCTTCTTCTTCTCTTCTTCTTCTTCTTCTTCTTCTTCTTCTTCTTCTTCTTCTTCTTCTTCTTCTTTTTCTTCTTCTTCTTCTTCTCTTCTTCTTTTTTCTTCTTCTCTTTCTTCTTCTTCTTCTTCTTCTTCTTCTTCTTCTTTTTCCTGTCGGGTTTTCGGACCTGTACGTGTGTGGGAAAAATGCTCCATTGTTTCATGTTGGCCTTTTGGCCCGGAGCGCCCAGGGGCCGCGGACTGCCCGGCTTCATCCTCCTCAGGGTAAACTGTAGTGACAGAGCACTCAGGGGCCCCTCATTAGCTCTCTGTCCGCTAAGAAGGAAAGAAGCTGCCTTAATCCTCTCTGTCTTCTTCAATCTGCCACCGCAGACACGATCCTCGTTTCATTCTTCCTCCTCCAGTTTTCAACTTGGACGTTCAGAAATATTGAGGAGAATTGGGCAGAAATACACATCCAGTTGCTAAAACATGTAATTCCCTTGTCTTTTGTGTGAACAGTTGCTGGAAACAAAATGTATGCTATAATCTGGATTAAAATGTTGCAATATTCCTTTAGAATGAAAATGAATGTGGTCTGCATTAATGGCTAAAACAAAACTGTATAGTTATTCCTCTCTCTCTGTCCTGCAGAGGACCTGCACATCATGGCACCAACATGCAGCTGTCACTGCCACTGGGATTAATTTGTTTGACTAAAACCCTCCAACCAGGGGCCACGAACTGGCTCCAGAACCCCACAGAATGTTCTTCGATGCAAAACAATCATAATAATAATAATAATGATCTAAATAAAAAATGAAAAACAACAAAAATCATATTCTGACATCTTCGGTCGTTTTGGACACGTTGCTTTCATGAAACATCAAGTGGAATAAACAAAGTACACTTTATGTATAAATCTTGAGTTATAATTTAATAAGGTACCAATATGTTAACTTTCACAGTACATCAGAGTGGTTGTCAGAAAAAAAGAAAAATAAAAACATGAGGGAACACACACACACACACACACACACACACATTCGTACCCTTTGAACGGAGCAGGTTGTGCAAGTGAGTGGCCTGGGTTCATGTAAACACACGATTCCCATCAAGTCCATTTGTCTCTCGGCCCAGGAAGATGTTGCTCTTTAAAAAGTCTCTAAGACAACCAAAATTAAAAATAAAATAAAAAAAGTGGAAACACGTTATTTGGTAATGTAATCATCAATAATCTCCTTGTGTCATTGTTTGTGTTTTTTTTTTCCTATTTTGTTTGTGAGAGGAATAAACGAGACGGGGAGCGGGGTCTGACTGTGAACCCCTCTGAGTAGAAAAATACCCTGCAGCTTCCTGACAGTCGGCCTCTCTCAGCCGCAACATATCTGAGCATATCTGAACATAAAACCCCCAAAAATGATCCGCTTTTAACGTCGTCACAGAAGGCAAACAGTCATATTTGCAGTCGTGAAAAGAATGAGGAAATTTGGCCAAGAAGTATGTACAGTTCCATTTTTTTTTTACAAGAGAATGTTTTTGTAAAAAAAAAAAAAGAGGAGTAATTTCTTTCTTTTAAAAAAAGAGCGATTTCATAACCAGGAAATGACAAAAACAATTAACCACAAATTCAGAGCTTCAGTGTGGAACCGAGTGGGTCAGGCTCAAAACAAATGCTGTAAATATTTCCATTTTTCACAGAGTCCAAAGTGCTTTTTTTTTTTTTTTTTTTTTTTCTTTCTGGAGGGTATGAAATCAACAAGAACAGAGACAAAACTCAAATAAAAAGAAAGAGAAATGAACAGATCAACACACACAAGAGGCTCCCTGCAGTTTCCTCACTGACCGTGGGCAAAAAACGACACACGTAACATTTAGAAAGCAAAAGGATCGGAAACTTAATTTACAAGCACGATAAATATACACACAGGTCCAATAAATATCGTTTTGTTAAAGCGTCCATACACCATCACAATTACAAAAAAAGAAAAGAAAGAAAAAAACATTTTTTATTCTGCCTGTGATTTGAAATCATTTCCTGCTCTTCATTTCGTTCAGGACCCTTTTTGTAAAATAAGGCAAACTGCTGATATTGATTTTTTTACCTTTAATAATCTCATTCCTCTGGCAGAGAATTTTGGGTTACATGGGAAAAAAACAAAGACAAAAAAACCAAATCGCTCGATTGGAGATGTAACCTGGTAGCCTTCCACCTACTGGATGGGCATGTACGGCCAGCTGAAGCTGCTGCCGGACAGCAGCATGTCCCTTATCAGCGTCTCAATGGGCGTCTTCCCCACCAGGCGCACGAAGAACAGCTGCTCGATGACCGAGGAGGAGACAGTGCGCAGCGAGGGCAGGCGGAGCAGCAGCTTCCCGAACCGGTTGGGCTGGTTGGGGTACTGGCTCCTCACGTACTCCTCCAGCGCGCACTGGGACTTCTCCTGGAGGCTCTCCACGTGGGCCACGTCCGACAGGCCGCAGGCGTCTGCCCCGAGAGGAACCACAAGGAAGAAAAAACAGACAAACATCAGAACCATTTACAGAGATGCACTGATCCGACATCTGTCTCGGTCCTGATGTTGGAAAAAATTGGGTATCGGTGACAATCTATTCGGTCTAAATCTATGATGTGTGCTCTGAGTGATGTCGTGCTTTATTATTTATTTTACATGTTTATTACACTTTCAGAACCATGTAAAGGAGGATTTATTGTAGTTCATATTTTACATGTTTGACCAAACTAGTCATCCTATTGATTTTGTCAGTTTCAGTTTCTTCTTTCGTATTTATTCTCCACGCTACCAGAGCCATACCGGCTGTTCTACTCCTACTTGCACCGACTGGACAAACTGAAGTTGTTTTTACATGTTTGCCCAATCTGTGACGCTATTGGTGTATTTCAATGAGCTGTGCTGGTGCAGAGATATTAATAACATTTGTAATTCAGTACGCTTATGTTACGGTCAATTCAGCTCTGTTTTCCTGTATCAGGTCGGTATGGGCCAATACTAAATTTCAGATATCCCCATCGGTATTGGAAGTGAAAAAAGTGGATCGGTGCGTCCCTGTTAACCAACAGCTAAAAGTGAAGAGAGAGTCTTTCCGTTTTCGACAAAATTCTGCAGTTCAGAAAAGGGCAGGAATAAGCAGGATTTGTCGTTTGTGTTGCAAAGTTCATTAGAGAAGAGGAATGTAGCGTTCACTAGCATGCCCAGGTACACAATGAGGCGAGGAATGCTAAAGATCTTTAGCTCTGCTAAGACATCCCATTACATCGCAGGGGATCAAAGCAGGTTGAAAAAAAACTAAATAAAATAACAGTCACTGAGACGGAAACAGCAACTCAGTCATGGTCAGGTAACAACCTGAGATGTAACAGTGAAAGGTTCAATCATCCGTGCTGTGGGTGGTGAGAAGGAGTTCATCTGTCTCATCAGCCCAACGCTTCCTGCGATCAAAGATGACGACGACGCTCGGCTAAAATCTCCAAAATCGTCGCAGACGAATCCAGCAGAGCCACGTCTGGCAGAGCGGTGCTGCTGCGCTGGATCAAATGTTTTGCTTCTGCAGCCTGCCGCCACCGCAGCGCTGCAGGCCGCATGGCAGCATGGCAGCAGGGGTGAAAGAAAGGCTACTGTGTCCCAGTTTAAAGACACGTGCTCAGATGTGCTCATGGGGACCGAAATAGACCTAGATAGAGGAGCTTCTTTTATTTTTCACTCTGCTGCTGCTCGTTCCTTTCGATCCAGCGGCTCAGCCGTTAAAAGGGGGGCTGCGTCAGAGCTGGGAGTTTAACTGAGGATGCTGTTTGTGATTATCTTGTTTTTCTTCTTCTCGAATACGTCAAAGTATTTGTGGAATTAAAAACAATATTTAAAATGTAACGGTTAAGGATCACACAAAGTAAAACGTAATTACTGGAGCCGTTTCCTGAAAAACAGTTCAGCGCCGCTTGATTTGAGGATGCAGGATTACGATGTTGACTATCGGACGACACAAACTCCTTTAGGGGTTTATGAACATATATGTTGATCGCTATGAGTTTAAATCTCATTTGGATGCTACGGAAATTCAAAGCAGCTTTTCCGAACTCTTTCATTTCCTTTCGAGTCTTGGATAAACAAGTATTTAGTGCATAAGATGCTAGAGGAGTAGAAGTAAACAACACTGTAAATAACATCGGTAAAGCCAAGAAAAAACTATTTACAACCATATGAGATTTAGACTTAAAATGATCCTCATTCACACTAAGTTCCTGCCAGGTTGTTCTGTAAGAATGTGGGTTTTATTAGTACTTATTGTGTCTCTTTTAGTTTGTCTTGAATGTATGTTTTAATATAAACCTATGTTGAAGAATCATTTGTGTCACATCTAGGACAGACAATAAAGTTTAATTTAATTTGAAGGAATATCGATTTTTAGTAGTTTACATATATTTAATTTGATTAAATAAGAAAAAAACTGCATGTTAAAAAAAACGTTAGTACCCTTCTAAATAATTAAGCTAAAAAAAACTCTTCTTAACTGCTCACTGTCTTTTTGCATGTTTGACTTTGTCTTTGAGGTTGCAATGCCTCTTTACCATCACCCTAATCTTAAACCCTACTCTTAAAATGCGACTTCCTGTCACAATAAAAACCTTAACGGAATTTCAAATAATTACTAAATTTGCCAAGTTTTATGTCCCATAAAGATCCAAGTTGCTAATTTTTAAAAAAAAAAATTTATGCTTTTCACTCGTAGCTATAGCTGATTGTTGTTTATTTTATTCACAGTGAATAAAATAATAACTCATTAATAACTTAATAACTCATTTTTCTCGTTGTTCAAATGTCCAGTTTTCCACAAATCCTCATTTCCAGTGTGCGCCGGAGTAAATGTTCCCAATGTATTTTTACCTGTGGTGAAGAGGACGACGGCCTTGATGCAGCTGTACTCCGCCGAGTCCACCTGCAGCACCTTCAGCTTCTCCACCTGCTCCTGGAAGACCCGGATGTGATCCATGAAGGCCACCACCCGGTCGGCGGACATCGGGGACGCGTGGAGCCCCGCGGCGGCCAGCAGCGGGGCCACGTGGACGGGCATGGAGCACTGGGCGGCGTTCAGCACGAACAGCTCGCTCCAGGTGAGGCGGAGCAGGGCCACCTGGTCCGGCACCTGCAAGTCCGGGAAGAACGGGATGTTCCGGGCCCACTCCACGGCGCTGAAGAGCATCCGCGCCGCCAGCTCGCAGATGTTCTCGATCCCCATGATGTTGTTGTTCTGCAGGCACTGGGAGCCGAACCGGGAGGTCGGGTAGGGCTCGGCCCGCAGCAGCAGGGAGATGTACCCGGACAAGTAGGAGTGGCACTGCAGAGGGTCCCCGTTCGTCAGCGCGAACTGGCCGTGGTAAGACTGCGTGGGTATCCTGCCCCTTTGCACGGCTGCAACGAGAAGCAGCAGAGACGTCACGTCAAAACTGAAACAGAGCACCGATGCGGCCCAGCTGACATTTAAAGAACAGGCCGCACTTTGGGGATCTTTCACAGCAACAGATGCCAATGAAAAGCAACGGGACGCGCTCGGTCTCTTCTGTCCACTCCGGTTATTTCTACAGTCAGCAGTGGGGAGCTAAATTAGGAGGAGGCAACGAATAATAACTTCAGACAGCTCCTGGTCAGAAATGTCACATTCAGCATTGTGACGTGAAAAACAATCCGGATTATTTGTAGGCCGCGACCTGCACGCAGTGGCGGGGCTTTCAGTTTGTCTGTAATAATCAAAACTGAGTCATAAACTGGCTGATATCCAGATACAAATATCTGTCTTTGGTCTAAAAGTAGAATTTTATTTTTTTGCGGGAGTCAGGGGGGTATATCTGTTTGGAATATGATCCAAATTTTTTTAAAAAGAGGTATTTATAATGTAAAAATAATCAGAATTGGATTATAACTATAACTCGCAGCGCTATGCTACAGGAGGCCACATCTGAGCCTGTATGACCTGCGTGCATTATAAATGTTACCACGGATTTTACATAAACCCACAAAATGCAGCTGTTTCATGTTTTAAGCCTCGCTCTTCAAAGCTGAAATCTCAACAAAACCAATAAAAAAATAAATAAAACGTTAAAATTACAAAAAAATAATAAATAAATAAAATGTAAAAAAATATCACAGAAATGAACTTCTTACAACGTCAAAGCTCCACTTGTTGTTTCACCCAGCTCACCGTGAAGGCATCAGGGATAGCTTACTGCTACAGGATGCTAGCTGCGACATTATTCCACAGCCCTTGTGTTTACACTGAAATACACTGTGGCCCACTGGCTGTGAGATAAAGACGGCTAAAATATTCTAGGAACACAGGGAAGGGAATAAAATGGGATTTATCCACTTTATCAGAGCTATTTGCTTCTCACAAATGCTACTAAAGAAAACTAAATTCAAATTAAGGAAATTCAGCTTTTTAAAAATATTGGACAGTAGCACCCTAAACCATTAATATAAGTAAGTGCTAATATATATATATATATATATATATATATATATATATATATATATATATATATATATATATATATATATGTATGTATTTTTTTTGCAAGACAAAAATATGTTAAACGCTATAGGTGAAATAAAAACTGAATATATATTTTTAAAATACATTTGAGACAAAGTTAGGGTACAACAAATGCTCCTTTAAGGCTATTTACTTTTGGAAAAGAATATATGCTAATGGCAATATTTTTTGCTAGCTATGACATAAAAGCTTATAAGGTAGCCTATTTTAGAAAGGATCTGCAATAGGACAAATTATCATGCAATATTTTTTATGAGACGGTACCATTTTGAAGGCTGCGTAAGAAAATTTAGGTAAAAAGAAACAAAATATATTTGCCAATGCTAGTAATTTTAGAGGTAAAATAATTATGCATGACTTAAAGGTTGTAATTATATTTTAGAAACAGAATGGGATGAATATATTCATATAATATCATAGCCCAGGCTGGTTCATTCACCTATTAACAAATGCTAGGCTACACAAATGTCGGGTCAATAATATTCAAGTTTGAAAACAATACCAGCAGCCAATATTAGTATAAAGCCTACATACACATATATATAAATATATTTGGAAAAATATACTGACTTTGAGGTAAATGATATATTTAATAATATCAAATATTTAGAAGAAAAATAACTTTAGGCTAATAGCCACTATTAGCTAACTGCCTACTAGCTTGTTTTAGTAATTGTTTCAGTGACAAAACCAGAAAAACATTCTCCTGACATAAATGCTGTTTTAGAAAGGCAGTGAGGAGCAGAAGTAGTTTTTCCTCCACTATTTATATTTTTATGTTAACAAATGTTCTTATAAACTCGTTACGCGTTTATAACACGCGCGCGTTGAGGCGAGTCAACGGCTGAATAACAGCAGAGTGGATAATGGGAAACTGAGTTTCCGTCCGTTTTCTGCCGAGCTTCAAACAAAAGGAGGGCGGCAGGCCGTACCTTCCCGCCTCATGCCGACTTTGAGGCATTTCTTGAGGCGGCAGTACTGGCACTGGTTGCGGTGGTGCTGGTCCACGGGACAGTTCCTGTTGGCCCTGCAGGTGTACGTCAGGTTCCTCCTGACGCTGCGCTTGAAGAAGCTCTTACATCCCTCGCACGTGAACTGTCCGTAGTGCTTCCCGCTGGATTTGTCCCCGCAGACGATGCACTCGATCTGCTGGCTCTGCTGCTTGTCCATGGAAGAGGAGGACGAAGACGACGACGAGGAGGAGGTGCTGTTGTTGTTGTTGTTCGTGGAGGAGGAGGAGGCGGTGGTGGAGGCGGACGCGGCGGAGGCGCCGGACAGATTGGGCGGCGGTGCTCCCGGAGCCGCTCCTGCCTGGGGTATGTCCAGAGAGGCCGCCGAGCTCATCAGTTCACTGGGAAGAGACAGAGGAGCCACCTGGGACACCGCGGAGGAGAGAGTCCCCTGGGAGTCCCCGACGCCCTCCGTGGTTCTCCACGCCACCATAGCCATACCGACAGACTCCAAAACTTTGCACAAGCAACTTTCCTTTAATTGAATTAATAAATGTTCTTTTGTTTTAAAATAAATTTCTAACGCACGCGATTTTAATCTCTTAAAGAAATTCCGACATCATTACTATTATTATCCTCATTTTTTTACATTAAAAGAGAAAAGGATAGTCACATTAGATGCTTTGAAACAGCCTTCATTGGATCACCGACGTGCGACACTAACTAATAATGTGACCGCTTCACTCAGAGCGGTCTGATGCGCTCCAACATCCGGGAAGTTAAAAAAAAAAATTAACAGAACCGAAATCCACAGGAAAGCGCGGCGTTATTCCACCGACGGATCCCCTCCAGTCAGTCCTTGTGTCCAGCTATGACGAGCAGAATGCCTCGCGAGCGGATCTTTCAGCAGAGATGGAGTCACCGGACCAGGCTCTCCAGACGCTCCCTGCTCTCCCGATCATCCAGAAGTTACATTAAAAAGACAACGGAGGAGGAGAGAGAGAGAGAGGGGAGAGAGAAAGGATGAGAGGGGAGGGGGGTGAAGCGGTTCTTGATGGATGGTGATTTTGATGATGCTTCGCAGAGTGTAGGAAGGAGAGGCATCCGCACGTCACCGCGGCTTGGTTGCGTGGACTCGGGGAGGGGCGGAGTCATCGCGAGGACTGGCCGGCCTGGCAGCAGCTGTGCGGGGGCTTGGGATTTGCATAATACGGGGGCGCCCATATACCTTCGTCGGTCTCTTCGTTTTGTCACTGTTGCGGGTGTGTTTGTGTGTGCACTTGTTCTGGCTCTTTAGCTGCAACACCTGCTGTCAAAGCGCGTCTCCTTCTCTGCAGCAGATGTAGTCTTTTTTGTTTTTTTAAAGGAAAGCCTATTATTTCCTAAATGAACGCAAACACTTCAGGCTGTGGAGAGACTGGGCAGTCAGTAGCCCTTAACTGCAGCTGTCTGATGCCACCTAGTGTCGTGAGAATATTGCACAGAGACATTAATTCACGGAAAGAGCCGAATGAACTGCTTTCATCGAAATGAAACGTGCAGGGCGAGTGAAACGTGGATGCAGTCCTCGTTGGTTGTAGCCACCAGTTTTAATCCTCATAGTCGTGCAGAAGGTCACCTCGGGGTAAAAGGGCCTAAAATCTGATTCTGCTGCAGTAGTCTTATGTAATTTCAAAGAATTGGGACTTTAATTGGCTGTTTTTAATCAGTGTGAAAAACAAAATCAGAAGTGAAACATTTATTTTTAGCGTTTTTAACAATACCGCTTGGGGCCCGGGGCCTCACTGTCCAAAGTCAAATCTGACCAAACGACTCTTATTTCTGGGCGCTCATATTTACTAGAAATTATTTCCATTTGCGAAATGTTAGAAGATGTGGCGAGAACATTTTCTGCTGATTCTTGTTTGTAACTCACTTACATGTGCTCAGTGTCAGGAATAATTGCATTTCAAACTTTATAACTTCAGTGAAGTTTGGTTTGATTTAACTTCAAACACAGGGGGCTGAGGGAGGGGAGAAACGTGTGTGAATCATTTTATTTCCTGTATGTAAACTTCTGGTTTCAGCTGTAACAGTCATGTTTTTGAACTGTGGGAGGAAGCCAGAGCAAACACACACACGCACACACACACACACACACAACTAGCTGAGGTTAACAAAAATGAAAGAAGGTCACCGGAAATATTTACTTTCATTGTTTAGACCTTACTGGTACTCTAGGAACATCTAAATCCACAACCGTTTGTTTTCTAGGGCTCAAATATGATGTGACACTAAATCCCATTTCTGCCCAGTAGGCTGGAAGAGGAGGCATGTTTATCTTATCACTCCACAACCTGAGCAGAAGACAAAAGAAACTTCGGAATTCACTGCAGAAAAGAGCTGCAGCTCACAAAGCTGTCACCACGTCTCCATAATAGACACCGTTTCATGCTACTTCTAGAAAATATCTAATCATTTAAAGACTTTTCACACATTTATATGAGACGTGCCAACAGTTTTACCTTTGTATGTAGTCAACAATATGTCTTCTAATTGTTTGCGGATCAATCTGACGTTTTCTACAATCTGAGATACTTTCCACATCAGTACCACATCTGAAAGGTCTTGAGCCAGATGCATGAGTCACATAATTTTCTGTCCTGGTCATTCAGTGTGTTCCCTATTGTGTATGGATCAGGTAGTTGTACTGGAAGAAAAGGCCTCGGAGAAGAAATCCCATCATTCAAAGACATTTCCTATTTTCTTCTGGACAGGACACATTTTGTGTCCTGTGTGGCACACCGTCTCGTTGTCTGCTTGTCAAGATGAGGTCGCAAACATTCGCTTTCACAAATGGGACATTTCAGCTTTTACTCCACTTGATATGTGAAACTATATTAGAAATTGCTTTGGGTTTATTTCAAATGTGAAGGATGGAAAAGAAATGAGAAAACAAAGGAAGAACAGTGGGGGAAATGTTTAAAGGGAAAGAAGGAGAGGAAGAAGCATAGAGGGAATACAAGTCGTCGCCCTAGAAGTCTGCTTCTACACCTGCAGAAAGTGGAGACAAAAAAAACCCCTGAGAAACCCTGGCAACAAACAACACACACCTCTGTCATTCTTACCTCTGTTATTCTTTCTCATTTGTCAGAAACACACTTGATGTTAGCAAATTGGTCGGATAAAAAGAATTTTGGGGGTTCACGTATTGCATCCTCGTTGTTTCTCCTTTAGGAAGAGTTGCCTTATCATTCTCCTTTACTTTAAAAAAAATCTCCAGAAAAACAACAAACCTGCACAGGAACGCAAAAGCTCAGTTTAATGCCTCTGATTGGTCACTAGATTTTGGTTGAGTTGTGAGTCCTTTTGCGTTTAGACTCAAACTATTCTCCATGTGACTTTTTCACAGTCCAAAATTTGCATATCAAGCCAGCTGATCTGTCATAGTTGGCCTCAGGTTGTTTGCTTATAGGTCCATATCTCACCTTTTGACACCTGGAGACAGGAATGACTGTCACACGAAGTGCAGGACAGACTAATAAAACTGCTTCTCAGAGAACCAAGACATTATAGGACACACAATAAGTCCGATACTTCGCATTTTATGTAAATTATATTGACAATATTATTTATTATCTCCCCCGTTTCTCTGCTGCAGCCCTTTATAATGTTGGCTTTTGTTTATGTCTTTACAGCAACGCGACTCACACTGTCATGATGTGCTGACGGTTTTAGTAAACACAAAAAAAACATATTTTTGTAAAGGTTACACACTGCAGCTTGAAGCTGTTTTAATGATCATCCCCACGTTGACTCCTAAGGCTGACCCTGCTGCCACGCTCTTCACTGCAGCCACACAACAAGCTTTAGTGCTTTCACCTCGCTGGCTAGACAGGAGAAACCTTTATTTTGTTTACTGCGGGAATAAATCCCCTCTTTATCTGTTTGAGTGTTATTAGCCACAGTTTTAGCAGCTGAACAGTAAATACCCCCCAAAGTTTTTTGCTCTTTCGAGACTCTTCGCTGGCGGGGAAAACTGCAAGCCATGCTAATTGGAGACAAACCGAGGGAGAGTTCGACTGGGACAGACCTGCTGCGTGAGCACCGCCAAAAAAGAATGTGGCTGTTTATGGCACGGCAGGAATCAGCCACTGCTGGCTCACTGCTCACAGAGCGGGAGCATTTTTCACACTGGCTTTATGTCTCTTGTTTATTTTACAAATAGTAAAATAAAGCCTTAGTTCCCGTCCTCTCCAGAAGGTTCAAATGACTAATTTCTGGAAGAAAAACAGAACAAGCTGATGGGATCGTGCCCAGACGTCATCTTTGGGGGAAAAAAAACATTTCCGGAAAATTTTTTAAAACTCCATCCATTTGTGATTAAACATGACCAAGCAGTTCAGTAGTGAAATACTACTGAATTGGATCTATTTTATAATGATCCATTGTGATAGATCTTATGAAAATGTCCATACCAGCTTCCCTCTGCTTGGGGAAGAAAAATAACCCCACAGCATGATGCTGACACCACCATGTGTTAGGAGCATGGTGCATTCAGGGAGTGTTCGTTCTTAAACAGCACACGGCTGTTTGCACAAAGGCCGAAACATTCAACGTTTTTCTCCTCTGACCATAACTATAGGAGATAAATGGTAATTTGGGGGCTGAGCCATACTCTTCCTATCCTTGTTAAGGGGGACATATTATTCAAAATTCACATTTTGCACATTTTTGTACTTCCATTTGGGTCTCTAGAGCTTTTAAAAACAGCCCAAGCATTAAAAAGAAAAAACACTCAAGCTTTTTTGGTAACATGTTCATGTTTTTTGGTGTCTGAAAAATTAGCTGTTTCAAAAGCCTCATTATTGTTAAGTCACAATCCAGAGCACCGCACATTACCTAGCAACCCCAGTCAAGCACAGTATGTTTTGTTGTCGACATCATCCTACTTGCTTACATCCTTGCTGGTTGTGCAGGAGACTCCACTTCTACTTTTCAAAGCAGAAGTATAATTTCGTATAATTGCGCATCTGATTGTAGCCATTTTCATGTAAGAGTGTAAACGTTGAGTTGGGGGAGCGTGGCCAGCAGCAATTTCATTTGGATTTAAAGTGACAAGACACCTTAAAATGACTAATTTTTCTTTGTGTAAAAGATGTGATGAATGTCATACACATACATTTACATATGGACGTCAGAGTAAATCGGGCATCTCCACACCAGACTTTTGAGACTTTAATTTGTAATAAAAGTTTGAAAACTATGTACCTTTCCACTTCCAAAATACATGTTACCTGTGTGTCAGATCAAAGCGGACCAATGTGAAACATTTCAAAGCGTATGAATACTTTTGGCTCTGTAATGCTGGTAACATTATGCATCCAGCAGACTGTCTTAGCTAGCCAGCTGAATACACTGAAGGATCAGGGTTTTTTTTTCCGTCAATAGATTGTTTTTACTCCCTGACGATATGGACATATCCCAAGTAGACAATGTCAGAATCCATCTGGCTCAAACTGTGAGCCAGTGGTTCAGAGAGCATGAGATATAATTTTTACAGATGGATTGACCACTACAAAGTCCAGTCCATGTAGCGAGTTGTTGGGATGTGCAGTAGAAGACTTCACCCAGGGCCAAACGCTTCGTCACAAGATCTCCTTGAAGAAAAGAGGGAGAGAAAAAAAATCAATCAACGCTTTATGACAATATCACAGCAACTGCATCCCATAATAAAAGTATTTAAGTGTGTGTATTTTCTCACCAGCTTCAAGGAATACGTAGGAATCCAGGAGTATTCTCGGGATTTGGACTAAACAGCGGTGTGATGTAAGCTCATTATGGTCATGAGGTCAGGAGCGGGATCTGAAAGTACACTCCAGCCACAAGATTCTGAGAGAGTGTCCAGAGAATCAGCAGTGTCATGGTGACCCACGATGGAGGCTTTTGGTGCAAAAGGCAAATGCTGTGGAGGAAACGAGTATTTGACACAGACAATGTTTCAAGATTTCATCGCAGGCATCTCAAGTGTGAGAGACAGAAGAAGAAAATATCCAGAAAATCACA